TAACACAGGCTCTGACTCAACTGTGGTAAATTTTGGCAAACAGAAAAGAGTGCCACTACAGTGGATTAATAGTGAGACAGATTGGCTGCTCTGGGGTATGTTGTGAATTAAAGGATCAGTAACACATTGTCTGACTTACATCTCTTTAGTGGCATCTTGCCATAACAGTTTTGATTTCATTTGCCCAGGTTTTGACATTTTTCTGTCTCCACCCCTGTGCAATGGAGGTGAATGAAAATACATCTAAAAACATATCAACAGTGACATCTTTTGACAGAAACGTCTCTGTTAGTCTTGATAATCCAAATATGAACAGTTTCCATTTAAAACAATTTCCTACCAAAGAAACAGTCACATGAAAAGTGTTCACTGTGATGTTTATGGGTTTTTTGGACCACCATTTAAAATTGAAAAATTGTGTAGAAGATGTAAACTGTGATATGAAACAGAAGGTTCCTGCATACCACTGTTTGGGTTTGGGTTTTTTTTTTGCAATCAGGGTGAACCAACCCTTTAAAATATGTTGAGCTATGAAACACATTTCAGCACTACACCTGTTAACATAGGTACTGATTGACGAACAACACTGTAGCAATGCCCAAAGGGCGTTTCACATGAACACACATGCACACACACACACACACACACACACACACACATCTGCAGTTCCAAGAGTAGCAACAGGTGCTGCCTACAGCGCCTCTTGCGCTTCAGGGGTTTGATGCACAGATGTGAACACTCAGTCTTGGAGTCACAGTGTGTAACCAAACAGCTTACACACACACACACACACACACACACACATACATCATTTTATACCACAAAAGGCTGCATTTTATTTTCTACTTCAGTGTGTCCCCTTTAACTATGCAGCTGCCCCTCTTTCTGCAAACACTGACAGTGAAACAGAAGCATAATGAAACAGTCCATCTCAGGAGATCTCACTTTCCCCTCAACACCTGCACCTCTGCGCCACCTCCTTCCAGAAGTTGCCCTTGTTTCTGGAGTTTTTCATTAATTCAACAGAGTAGAGCTCGCAGGCAAGTAGATCTTATTTAAGGTAGAGAGAGGTCATTAATGAGAGAGCTCCCTGTTGCTCTACCCACTGGAAGCGGCTTGGATGACCTGAGATGTGCCTGTGAACACACACTCTCACTGTCTCTCTCCCTCACACACCCACACAAACAAGCACAGACAAAGACATGGAGAGAAACTGAGTCCGTCTGTGCATTAATTGTATTTGCCCAAGGAAGTGAGAGCGCACCAGAGAGAGTGTTGATAGGCATCTTCAGTTCTTGTCCAACACTAATGTTCTCCTCTGTGCCATTACCATTAGAGCTGTAAGTGGCTTGGTATTCAGCCACGAGGCCGGAAGTGAAATATGACTCTATCTGTCTGTGCCATCAGTGCTAGACAGGCCGCCAGACAACAGATCTGCACCTATGCTTCCATCTCATCCACACCTGCACAAGTTCAGACTTAAATGCACGCTGGGTATGTATGCAGCAGAGTGCTTTGAATCACAGTTTACAATTTATTCCATTGTGGATCAATTGAGTCATTGAGTCAGTTGCATAACAGTAACTTAGTCACCAGTATGGCAGAGCCCAGTGGAGAACTGAAGCTGAGTGGGAGACTGCTGAATGATGTGCTGCCCACGCTGTAGGAGGGTAGAGTGGGTGCCTGGGAAGACTCCAGTGTATTGTAAATAGTTAATGCAGGAGTTTTGGCTGATGCCTTGAAATCACACCATGCCTGTGCCATATTGTTAACCTCCTGCTGTGCAATTAATCACAATGAACTGCAGGAGACAGCTGTTAATGAACGACAGGCTTGGTGGGGGGAAATGGACCACTGAGCTCAGGGTTAGGGGACATGCAAATGAGCAGCGCTGCGCACTAGGCACTTATTTCACTGATGGGTGCCTGTTGTTGAGGATGTGTAAGGTAGCGGCCACTGTGCTGCCATAGAGACAGGAAGCCACTTACTGTCACTGGAGCCTTGTGCAGCATTGTAGCTACTGACATTCCCCTGCTTCTGACATTACACAGCACCCAAACCTTCACTGGACAAGATGTACAGCACATCTGAGAATATGTGAGAAGAAATGCTGTTGCCTTATTTTAGAATTACATAACTGTCTATAATGTAGGTGGGGAGTAAACAGCGGAGCAGAGAGGCTAGAAAAAACAGCATCTTTATTCATTGTCTCATTGTTCTAGTGCAATAATAGGGAATTAAAGCCTTGCTTCATGTTGGGGAGAGCACCCAAAATCCTTACACACTGGGAGTCATCAGCAGATTAACCCACTATTCTGATCCTAAAAGTTTGATGATGGGGCTACTTCTGCATCAGCATCTGTGTGCCAGCATGTAGGGCCTGAAGCATATTCCTATTTCACCAAACAGAGCATATTCATATTCATGTGTCTCAAAATGTGTTGCTTCAGTGTGCAGCACATCAAGGCCATCAGAAGATCACCACTCACCCACACATGTCAGACAGCCTACCTGAGCTATCCATCCATCCACCGTCAAGTTTATCAAACGTCATGTAAGACATGGACATATATTTTCACGCATACACCCGGGTCATTATTGCGTTATGCGTGGATGTGGTTTCCATGGAAAGGAAGTTCATCCCCTGTGAAGCAGCCGCAGCTGATATGAATACAGATAGGAGGGAAAGGAAGCTGTCACCCTGTGAGATAATAATCACACTTACCCCATTGTTAAGGTTGACATGGAAGCCGAACCCTGATGAACGATTCCTCCTCACTGCCAATAAAAAAAACACACGTATCTCTCGGACTGGCTGCTGCTGCGTATGAAGGTCTTCTCTCTCTACACGACAGCCTTCAATGTATCACCGTCGGTGCGTCTGCAGGAATTTGATGACAACTGGTCCATTCCCGTCCGCTCGTGTCACCGCGTGAAATCACACATACATGTCGTTCTGCACATGGCACGCAAATCAGAGCTGCTTCTCCTGCTTTGGCGGTGAGGGTTTGGTGATGATGGAGCAGCAGAAGCAGCAGCACCGCTGTGGGAGATTCAGCGCAGAGTCCAATGGAGATCCGACAGGCGCCCTGCTGGTGTCGTGTAAATTACAGATCCTCGCTGGAAGGGTGGAGAAGCCCTGCTGCCTGGACTGGGAAAGACAACCCTCATTTAGCCTCTAGATAACGCACAGCATCACACTGTCCACCCGCGTCTCTCTCTCTCTCCCTCCCTCTCTCTCTCTCTCTGTGTCTCATTACCATAGGCTCACAGGCTACACCCCCACTCTCCCGCCCAGACTACAGCTATTCCACACACTCCGTATCAAGCCCACAGTGCATCTCTATAATTAAGCCGATTTCTGACTACACATGCATCATCATTAATGCCTTTTTTCCACGGATTCACGTCCTCTCCTGATCACTGCTGCTATGTTATCACTCATTTGCATAGATTAAAAAATCATCCTGCAGTGTCTCCGCTGTAGCTTTATTGATCTGAGCCTATCCACAGACCCCTGTGCGCACCCCACCCCCCAAAAACCGCTCCACATCTGGCTGATGCATCCGCTTCCCTCCCACTCAGATCACCGTCAGCATTTGAACTGCCTACGTCACGACACCGTCCTCCGCAGTGACGTCACTCGGTGCTCAAGGGACTGATGCCATTTCATGCTTTATTGTTTTATAAGAAGTTTATTGGGGAAGTGGCGTACTCGCCGAAATGCTGAAAAGAAAATGTTAGTGCAAGGCTGTGGTATTGTCCCCTCCCTGAGTTTTCTGAATCTACACGCAGCAGTATTATTATTGGACGATTATGTCCAGTGATCAGGTCGCTTCTCGCTTTTCACTTTATCTAAAAACAATCGAATAAAGAACCCAGTGTCAATTAATCAATTGTCATAGCGGCCTGCACATCTGTTTAATTTAAAATGACTGAATTATGCACACTTACATAATAATTTATCAACTGTACACCTTGTTCTCTTTCTTATCATTCTTTTATATCCTTCATATTCTCTTGTCTTGGTCTCTGTGAGCTGTTTTATGTTTTTTTTAAATAATATATAGCTTAATTAATCTTAATAAAGTCCTAAAAGGGTCATCTGGGGTCACATCTAATTCTGAACTTCTGGCATGGGAGGGGATAGCTCTTTTAAGGATGGCATCAGTCAATCTAAAAATGACCGTATATCAACATAAGTCCTAGAATATCCAGAGGCTATAAACCAGACATGCTAGAGACTCATGATGATGAATGAATGTAATAATAATGGACACAGCGGGTCACATAACTCACAAAGTAACAGCTGTAACAGTGACAAGACTCATTACAATAACAAATCAAAAAGAAATTATAGGCTTACACCATCAGTCTCGTGTTAGTTGTGTTTGTGATTAGTGTCAGTTATGTCAGTCCTATTGTTTTTTCATCTTTCTTATCTAATCATTGACGTAGGCTACCATATTGGACTCGTACCCTAAAATAGCATCCATTAATGTTATGTTTGCAACATTAGACAGATTAAACATGTGGATTTGAACATTTTGTCCTGCAAAACAGAAGAGACAGACCAACTGGAGTGAAAATGTCATCTAGAGATAAATCCCGAAGCTGCACCACAGACAATAGATAATGAACAACCTGCCTGCAGCCATGATGATTTTACTGGTGAGTGGGCTTATCTGTGTCACAGCTTCAAGCTCTATATTCAGATTTAACCCATTTGCATGTACAGTACTCCGAATGAAATCACTTAAAGTTTTGGTATACTGTATTTTTATTCAATCTTGATTTCACTGTCCAGTATTATCGATACAGCACAGTGTAGTTTTTGTGCTCTTGGGTGGATTTTCCCTTTAACTATTACGGCTACGTCCCCTTTAAATCGAGCCCAATTACGTCATGGCTTCAATGCGGAAGTATGTACTCAGGAAACTACAGCACCTTCAGTTTTGTTTACATGTGTGATGCTACTCGGTAAGTGTTACAGAGTTCGGTTTTTGAGTAAACGGGTTTAACATTTAGTCATACAATATGTGTTGACATGTTCTTCACACAAAACTACAGAGAAAAGGATTTAATGTAGTGATAATATCGTTACCGATGTTTGAAGTAGCCAGTGTAGCTAGGTGCTTGTTAACGAGGACTGAGCTAGCACTAGTTAGCTCACTGTGCGATCACTGATAAGTTTCGGTTTCCTCGGTAAGTTTCCGTGGGATTACCATTCCTGTCGGGTGATGAGTTGTGAGGTTGCTGGTGGTAGCCACGGACTTCCTGTAATTGCTGACACCAACGTACCAGCTGTATTTCAGGAATTCAGCGGAGTTTGATGCTGGAGCTTTATGAAGAACCGCAGCATGTTTCCCCGCAGCGCTGCACCGAGGGGGCAGGCAGCCTACCGTAACGGCCTGTACCCGCCACCCCCTGTGCCCCGGAGCTACGACTACAACCACCAAAGCTCGGCTGGTGTCAACAGGTGAGGCTGACGGAGACACCAACTGCAGTGTTGTGACACACATCAGCAGCAGCATCAGTAAAACTGTGGTCACTTGTGTGCTTTTGTGTCCTGTACAGTAACGTGTGTGTCTGTTTGGTAGCTTCTATGTTCCTGAACTAGACAGGTTGCCTAGATATGAATGGACGCCCAGACCACTATCTCCAGTCCCTCATCTCGTCCCTGCTCCCCACACACCAACTATGACCAATGGGCGCAAGTATGTCATTTCACCATTTATTTATGACTGAATAATCTGTGTGTCATTAATGTAATTGACATGTCTTGTCATGTGTTTCCTTATCATTATGTATCTTCCAGGAGGCAGAATGATGAATACAGCCCCTATGTTGTGAAGCGCCAACGTCTTGACTCCCCATCTCGCCCATCTATAGGCTCCCCTTTACCTCGGGCTCCTGCCCCTCGTCGTCGTGACCAGGCGGTGGCAGGGTTGTCAAGATCATCCGTTGGTTTTGAAAGCCGTTTTCCCAGCCCACCTGCTCGTATCCACCCTCAGGTGACTGGGCGGCCAACACCTGCCCAACACCTTGACTCTTCATCCTACCCATCAATAAGCTCCCCTTTACCTCGGGCTCCTGCCCCAAGTCGTCCTGACCAGGCGGTAGCAGGGTCATCAAGATCATCCTTTGGTTTTGATAGCCGTTATCCCAGCCCACCCGCCCGTATCCACCCTCAGGTGTCCGCTGTCCCAGAAAGCTCCAAAAGTCTGCAGGCCTACGCTCAAGACAAGGTACTGTATGTTTAAATGGCCTTAACTTGCAGATGACTTATACATCAAGCCTGACTGTGTGTGCAAATGAAGTCAGTGTGCATGTGTTTGTGCCCTCAGTTAAGTGAACAGATGGTGGAGCTGTTTGAGGCGTGCCAGCAGCAAGCTTCTGATCTGCTCCGGAAGGAGATGTGCAGAGTTCAGCTTCAGAGCGACATACAGAGTGTCTTTGCAGGTGTGTGTGTGTGTAATATATATTAGCACTCTGCTCTGACTTTTTGTTATGATCCTCGCTCAGTAAGTGTGTGTGTGTGTCTCTCACAGTGGCACGACTTTACTTGACTGGATCTTCAATGAATGGGTTGGGCTGCCGAAGCAGTGACGCTGATCTGTGTCTGGTCCTCGATGGAAATGTGAGTATTCTGACTCTGTGCTGTGAAAGTCATCCATAATGTAGATGTGTGTGAGTGTGTGTATGTACAATCATAGATGATGTGATAGAAAAAGAAGCTATGTGAATGTCATGAATGTAGGATTTGTTCATAGTCAAGGTTTGGTATTTTGAAAGGCCTCAGATCCCTCTTTTGGCACGCTCTATGTCATGAAGCTCTGGTTGTCTCAGGGTTAAGCTAAAACAATGACCTTGATGTCCTTGAGCATCAGTCTGGAGCAAGGGTTACACAACATTGTTTTGTGTCCTCCCTGGGAGCCTGATTACACATGATTCTGTGTGGTGGTATGGGAAGTACTGTATAAACCTGAGTAAATGTAATGTTACTTTAAGTTCTTGGTATATCTGCGCCCAGGGATATAAGCTGTACTAAGATATTCTCTGATGTTAGAATGGTGTTGTAATAAACTTTAAACACACTTACAAATCTTTACTTAATCAAGTTAGGATAACTAAGGCTTATCAAGATATTCTTTTTTTTTCATTCAAGAGCCTGGTTACACATCCTCATGGGTAATCACATCACAAGTGGACAGTTCAAATCTGTCTGTTCACACCCATCTTTATATCCGCGTGACCATTTGTGATCAGATCTCTCATTCTCTGCTCTATATGCAAATAAACAAGTACATCATTTCCATTTGTAGAGACCAAATGTGTTGTTGTTTCCGACTGATTCAGTGTCAGTGTTAGATAATCAGGACTGTTAAACAGCTGCTGCAGTGTTAGCTCATGCTAACCAGCAGGCGTTGCACAGACCACTTTCTGGGAGGACAGTGGCTCCGGGGCAGCAGCAACAGACAGATAATATTCAGCGATTAGTCAGAGAAGCAAGGACACCAGCTGAGTAAGCTGGCCTTCAGTGTGGCCCAGGACGCATTAGTGTGCACACAGCTGAAAGAATGTAGCCGCATGTTCCACAGACCACCTCCGAATGTGGTCTGAGCGATCAGATCTCAAGATGTATTGAGTACCGTACCTAGAGCTGTCCACCTGTGATCTGATCACCCAGGATGCATATTAATATCAGGTGGAAACAGGGCCTAAGTGAAGATTGACCTGAAGTACAAGTTTTCTGCATCAGATACTCGCTTCCTCTTAAACACCTGCATGTGTTTTTTGTGTTTCAGAAAAGACCTGAAGCTATTCATGCACTCTCTGTCCTCCAAAGGTTGTTCAAGTTGTTCAAGTCACTGCGTGAGTAATAATAATGATTTAATGTGTGTCTGTAACTTTTGCTGCCTTCTTGGCCGGGTCCCTCTTGAAAAAGAGATTCTTAATCTCAATGAGGCAAACCTGGATAAATAAAGGTTAAATAAAAAAAATAAAATAAAAATAAACCATGTTTTTTAAAATAATTTACAATAATTTATTTTACGCTGTTAACTTCTTAATATTTTACTCAGCTTTGCTGCATAAAATGAACCAGTTTTACAAGACAAAATAAAAATTTACAGTGGAATTGGTAGTGAATTCTCATAGTGGAATTGTGTTCACAAGTTTATGTTCTCCACAGATTCCACCAGGTGGAGCTATTTACCCAGTGGAGAAAGGAGTTTCAGGTTTACAGGAAAGGAAAGGAAAGTAAAACAATCCTAAATCTCATGATGTTTGTTTTGATTCATAGCATATGTGGAGAGAACTCAGCTGATCAGAGCCAAAGTGCCGATCCTCAGGTTCAGAGAGAAAGGCAGGTAAGAGCAAAAGAGTCATTTTGGCCTGTTTATTTTCTTCTTTCTTTCTTTTTAAACATCATTGAAGTAAGAAAGAAGTGTTGACTCTTGTACTACTCCTTAAGAGGTTGATATCCCAGCAACACTTACTGTGTATAAAAGCATTGGTCTTGCAATAAAGTTGTTCTATATACTACAAAAGTTGCTGGAGTTTCAGCCTCCTAAGACTTATTTCTCTTTTCCAATGCACATTTGAAGTAGCTCAAGTTGTGCCATAAACCTTCACTCTTCTTTTACTACTCCTCCCCTCTTTAGTGAACTGGAGTTTGATCTGAATGTCAACAACACAGTGGGCATCAGAAACACATTCCTTCTGAGGAGTTATGCCTATGGTGGGTGAGACACTCAAGTCAGCGCTAACTGTGACTGATCATTCTAAGCAGCGCATTTGATACTTGAAAGGAAGACGAAAACATTTTGACCCACTCTGTTTCTGCGGTTTCTCTCTCAGCTGATCTCAGGGTAAGACCCATGATCCTTGTCATCAAGAAATGGGCACGGCACAATCAAATCAATGATGCCAGCAAAGGAACGTTAAGCAGCTACGCACTCGTGCTGATGGTGCTGCACTACCTCCAGAGTCAGTACAATCACACACACGCACAAAATTTTTTTTTTTTTTTTTTTTATTCCTATTTGTACTTTTCACTAATTGTGAATCTCATCTTGAATGTGCTGTTTTCTTTGCAGCTCTGAAGGAACCTGTCCTCCCCTCTCTACAGAGGGACTACCCAGTAAGTGTCTCTTTTTGCAATTTATCACTTCAGTTTTACCTTCTTTTCCAGGTTAAATAGAAGAGGTTCGGCTGTAAACTTAAAGGCTAACTTCACTCATTAGCAACCTGGATCCGATTTTTCCATGTTTTGATGTTTAAGTGACCAGAGGGAACAACACTTTTTGAAACTGGTCCAGTATTGAGAGAGAGGGCTGCAGTGTAACCACTCACAGCATATGTGCATAGTCTGTTTACATCCACTAAAGTGCTTGTTTTTGCCACTGACAGGCTCAGATTATTATTCTAAAGGGGGCTTTCATATTAGTGACCTGGGCCTGGATCTGACTACACTTGACCCCAAAGTTCAGTTCGTTTGATTAGAGTGAACACTATGTGCAGTACTTGAGACCAGTGTGCTGTTTCAAGTATGGTTCGTGTGTACTCCAGTACGGTATGCCTCCAGACACAGAAGTGGGATGCTATTTAGCACTAACGCAAGAAGTTTTTAATCAGTTATGAAACAGTCTCTGGCTTCACTGCCTGCCTTTGACCTGCAGTTGAAGTTCTGGCGGGAGGCGGAGAGATCTGCGGTCCTCTCCTCCAGCCAAGAGCAGAGCTTCGTCTGACTGCTCTGCTGGTCCTCACTGATGATGATCTCCTGGGCAGCAGTGTCTGTCTGTGCCCTGCGGCCCTGTTTTGTACACTTTTACCCAAGACAAATGTCTCTCATAGATGATGACACAAGTGTACAGGGGCATGAAATAACATTACTTATGCTTAAGTGTCTAACAACATTATGGAACAGATCCCTACAAAACGTTTTGTTAAAGGGTAAGATCCTTTTTATTTAACCAGAAACGGCCCCTAAATCACTTTTCCAAAGCCACTGGACACCATTCAGATGAACAGTATTTTTATTGTGTATAGAGCCAGCATATTTTCACATCTAACTGGGCAAATTTAGGGTTTATTTTGAGTAGGGTTTGATTTTTTTTCATTTGTTTCTGTCATCTTTGAAGTGTGTTCATCCATCACAAAGATTCTGTGTGAATGTGCTCAGTTTTAAGCCTTTGTCCTTTTGTCCTTGATTTTCAGGACTGTTTTTATCCCCTCTTGGACATCAATGTGGTTCCAGAAGGACCCAAACACATCCCCCCCTACAACTCCAAAAACCAGTCCTCTCTGGGAGAGCTCCTCCTGGGCTTTCTCAAATACTATGCCACAGACTTCAGGTATCTCCCAGAGAACATCACATTACTGAGTCTAGTGTTGGCTCCTCTGCCTGCTCACTTTCTCGCTCCCATTCCTCGTCTCCTGCTCCTCTTGCCAACTTCTCCCTCTCCAGCCCCCCATCTCTTCTCTCCTTCCTCTACACCGCATCCTTTTCTCTGGTGTCATGTTTCTGGGTGAGGGGCAGGAGCAGGTGGGACCTTTGGCCTTACACAGCACTAACATGACATGCCATGATCCCTGTGTTTGCAGTATGTGTGTCACCATGCCACACCACAGTCGCAAGGTTGAACTAAAACTCACCGCACAAGCATGCACTGATTTTTTTTTTTTTTTTTTTGCATTTCACGGCATCAAACACTCGGTCAGGTCACACATGTTGAGTGATTGTAATTTTAAAAAGCAGATGCACTGACAGTGATGAGCACATTTTTCCGTACCTTCTTGTCAGCCATCTGTTTTAACAGGGTCAAGTTAGCGAAGACTGAAATCTATCAAAATGAACATTTATTCACATTTCCTGTAAACAAAAGTGTCTCATAAGCACTAAATAATTCGCCTGCTTTTGTTTTTTGTCTTGCAGGTGGGATAAGCAGGTGATCTCTGTTCGAGAGGCCAAAGCTTTGCCCAAGACCAATATTCTAGCGTGGAGAAACAAATACATATGTGTGGAAGGTAAACATTTCAGTGGACGTAACACGCCACAGCCACCACTTAACAATAACTGGCGCATCAATGGAAGAAGTGTCTCTGCTATGCTACATATCTAGAGAGTTATAGCAATGCCTTGTGTTTCAGAGCCGTTTGAAAGAAATAACGTCGCCAGAGCAGTCCACGAGAAGATCAAGTTTGACTCCATTAAAGCCGAGTTCGCTGAGGTACATGCCAGTCCTGATAACTGTGCTCCCTTTACATTGTCTCTCTTGCTCCAAGTTGCTGTGGGCAAGCCATGAGTTATTCATAATCCTCCTGCTTCTCATCTCTCTGTCTGCGCAGGCATGGCGGATACTACGGGACAGGAAGGACCTGAACTCGATCCTCCCAGTCAGAGCCATCATTAACAAGGAGTTGTCCGGGAGATAAGGAGTTCCTCTAATTAGACGAGCAGACGGGAGTCTTCTACCTCAAGACAGGCCTGTCCTCGGAAACAAAGAGCGACGTTTGGGATAAGCTGAGAGAGGAGCCGTGCTGACTCTGCACCTCGCAGCCAGAAAGACTCTCGGACTGTGGCAGCATACATATATAATAAAAATACTGCACTCACTTTCACACGCTTTGCAGGTGCTGCCAAATTAAAAGTGATGATAAAAGTACAATATTTACGGAGCGACACCAGAGGGCTCTGAAATCGTGACAGAGAGAGACGCTGCACTGAAGCAGGATAATAACGGTCAGTGTTATTAGAGATGATTATTGCTGCTACACGCCCTCTTTCCCCAATGCACATAGCGTAACTGATAAAAGACAAGAAAAAGACAAAATAATACACGCACCCAGCTCACATCTGAAGCAAGCTTAAATGGAAGCAGCCTTGTTTAGGTTCGACTGGTCTCAACCAAGTCCCTCTGATCTCAGTTTTAGTTATATCCACATTGCTAGAGCCATACTGCACAGAGTCAGCTTTGAGGATCATGCCAATAATTTGCTTGTGCCACATATACAGTATGTACAGTCCGTTGTCTTCAGCCTGTCTGGACCAACTTGTTACATCAAAGCCTTTTTTTCTATTTTTCTAGGTCAGTGGTGACGCGACTGTGACTTTAAACACCATAGACTTTTTTTTTCTACAGCTGCATTTAATGCTCTCTTATTTTTCATCAGCACCGTCTTTAAGTTTCTGAGCTCCTCTGAAAACCGAGCTTGTCATTATGTGATGTACAAGTCACAAAGATGTTAACTGGAGGGCCGTGAAGAGGCCATCTTATCACTGCTCCTGATGTGTTGTATTGTTTTCTCTAGAGTGCTGCCTATGTGGAATCATTTTAGTTCAGTATCTACTTGATTTATCTGGTCAAAAACTGATGTTATTCACTCCTTTATTGTTCACTTCATGCCCACATTATTTAAAGTATTTACACTTAAGTGTGACTTAGTTTTCTTGTTAGGTTGATATTTTCCTCAGCTCTTGTACATTTTGTACATTACTGACTTTACAATGTTTATTTAAAAAAATAAATCTCTGAAGATGTATGATTGTTTTTACTTTCTATTCTTGAGCTCTGTGTGAGGCCCACTGAAATTAAGCTCCAAACTTATATTAAATGGTACACTGGCTTTTTTCCACAGCTGTCGCTCATGTTCAGATGTGTTGTATATAGTATTTGCCAAATTAATGTTTAGTGGTATCTTTAATTTTATATTTTAAGGTGATTCTTCTGGGATATTAGATCTAAACATGACAATAAACGTGGTACCCCATCACAATATTATTATAATGTTACATTCAATCACCTTGCAGTTAAAAATGAGATCAGAGATTTTATCCACAGGACCAAAGCTTAAAGCTGCAGTTGGTAACTTGAAAATATTATGAAAATAAGTAAGTATATGAGACAGATAGTCTGTGACAACATCATGTCCCTCTTCCTCTTCCCACTGCCTCTAATGGTGTTTACTAGAATCAATCACAGCTTACCAAAAAAAGCCAATCAGAGCTGAGGAGTCCCTCATGCAGCTGTCAATGATGTCAGTCACAGCTCATGAACTGCAGTCAAACTAAGCAGCAGTGATTAAACTGAAATCAAGATTATTTTACTGCAGTGCCTAAAATGTTTTCAGAAACATATTTCAGTGTACTGTTTAGCTTTAAAATGAGAAAATTTGCTCAAGCTAGTGGGTGGTGCTAAGTAATGGGTGGTCATGTCACAAACTTTTTCATTTTACAGCTAAATTGTGCACTAAAATACGTTTCTGAAAACATTTGAGGCAGAATCCTATGCCTAGTTTGACCGATTGATCCAAGTAGTGGGTAAATGTATCATTGGCCTGTTAACTCAGTTGGTTAGAGCGTGGTGCTAATAACGCCAAGGTCGTGGGTTTGATCCCTGTATGGGCCAGGGAAGGTTTTGGGGCTCAGTCCATAGAAATGTGGCTTGAGAACCAAAGGGTCGCTGGTTCAAGTCTGGTCCAAAATATAGAGGGCAGAGTGGTAGCTGGAGAGGTGCCAGTTTACCTCCTGGGCACTGCTGAGGCACCCTTGAGCAACATTCCCAACCCCCCAACCACCTGGAGCGCTGGTCTCATGGCAGTTCCCTCACTACAACATCTCTCCATCTACTGCATGTATAGGTCCTGTGTGTGTGTGTGCATATATATATATATATATATATATATATATATATATATATATGACAACCACTGAATTTCCCCCTTGGGGATTATTAAAGTTTATAAAAATCAAAATTAAATTAATCAAAATAACCATGCCAGTGGGAAGCTGCATTGCACTGAGTAGGCAGAGTCTGCACCACATTAGACAGGTATTGTAGCCAGCAGATCAGGCGGATACACCACTAAATTTGAGTGGCAAAGGTGGCGTATACGTCACCACAACCGCATGGCTCATACAAACAAATGAGACAAGGGAGATTGATGAGACAGAACTGATGAATGTCATTCAGGCTAAAATCAAACATGAACGTCAGGTGCAGGCAATTATTTGTCAATTTGGAAGGCTACCATGGTTTTTGCTCTGTGGCTGTCGTTATTTGTTTTATCAGCTGACAATTATGTGGTTGCTGTGGCTGGCAGACACACTACACTCCATTAAAACAGCTTTCCCGGCCCTCGCCATTGCGTGTTAAGTGTGTTAGCAGCACACTGAAATGGAGCAGGCCCACTGACATGATCAACAGCTGCGTTTTTGTTCACCTGTGTTAACATTAGAAGCGCTACAAAGCAATAGAACAGGCAATGAGATTATCTGTCTCATTTAGTGCATAGTGACAGTTTCAACAACCATGACAAATAGATATTTTTTATAAAAGTGACCAACTACAGCTTTAAACCCGCACACATATTGACCATAAGCACTAATACCATCTAGTAGAGCTGGTCCAATCCCCCCTGGTCCACCTAATATTTTTACACTGGGTGTCATTCTGTTTCCTCAAGGTAACGCATTTTATCCACCGCCACCAGGAGCTCTGTCATGTAGTTTGTTATCAGTGCTTGTGATCCACAGGCCTTAAAAGAGGTTATAAAACTAAGGATGACTCCTGCATATCTGCACCTTTTGAGTAAGTTTTCTCTGCAGCCTTCTCTTGCAGCTCTTGTGCTGATTTGGTTTTAGGTCTGTGGTTTGACACCTTATTACACCTGGTTTTATGACTTCTGCATAGTGCCAGTACTGCTAGGAGCTAGATACCTCACAGGATGTGTACGTGAGTGTGAGTGTGTGTGCGCGCGTGGCCCTGTTTAGTGTTGCCACCAGCAGCAGGGGGACCAGGAGGGTACTGTTTCAGCACATGGCCTATATTTAACTTAGTGAGGGGGATTTTGATCTTAAAGTCACACCAGCTCATTCAGCAGCTAGCCGCTGGTACAGATCACAGGAATGATGATTTCCTCAAATATATAACAGTCTTTTTATGATAAGTTCAAAAAAATCTAACTACTTCTTGGGTTATGTACACTAACACCAAAATCTAGGACTAAGGAGAGGACCTACCTTCTGTCACTGCTCCCCTCTCTATCTCCACTCCCCTCTTTTCATTCCCCTCTCAGTCTATTTCCGTCCCTGGCTGAGTCAGATGGACTGCTCCCAACTTAGAATGACAGAAACAGGCAGACCAACTCTTTTCCGTAATCAGAGTGGCTGAAAACATCAAGAGGACTCTAAAATACACAGAAATTCAACATCGGGGTCCGCAAAGGGAAGAGCAGGGGGATATTACCAAGATGGAGGAGTGTGAGAGTTTGGAGTCGGAGATGACGGAGCTTCAGGAGTTTGAGGGCGAGGCTTCAGAGGCCATCAGCCAGGACGACGAGGACGAGGTGGAGGAACTGCAGAACAGGTGCTTACAAGCTGAATAACCTCTGTGTAAAGCGGTGTCTTTTGTGCTGGGAGATGTTATGAAATATATTGAATGGGATCTGTGAGAAGCTACCTTTTGCTTTTAAGAAAGAAAAGAGAAATTATGTCTTATCTCTTTCTGCAGAGCGTCACCGGACAGAGTATCCAAGTGACACAAAGCAACACTCCATTTCATATAGTAAGGGATCATCTGTTCTTCAGCTCATACGAAGAATCAGCAGAGTGCCACTGCAGGCAGCTCTATTCTAATATTTGATATTATTCACCATCCCATATTTTGCATCTCATTTATCATGTTTCAAAGTGGCTGCTCTAGTTTTCCTTGCCATGTCATAAATAGTAGAAGACACTGATATGTTGGATGAATCTGGGAAGGCCAGGCATCTCTTCTCTAATATCACATGAATGACACTTTGGGACGTCACCTTGCTGTAACCCTGCAGGGGCTGAGCTGTATTGATAGCAGGAGGGACAGCTCAGAGCGTACTTGATCAGTATTTTTTCAGCTCATTGCTGACATTGACAGCCTGGCACCAGACACTGGCTCTAATACTGGAGATCTGCGCTTCTCAAGTGCTCATCTTGAGAGTAGATTAGCGGGTGCTGTCGTGTTTTCAGTTTAGATTTGCTAAATTGCCCTCAGGTGCAAAACGTGAATTGCTGGTGGTGGTTTCCACATTGGCACATCTTGCTCAGCTATGTTTTAATGTGATTCATTGGTTCGTTCTCTACTTGCATTTCCATGAGCTGTGCCAAAAAGGATCTCCTCTTGCAGACTGTTTAGTCATGCCCTGCTCTTCTTCCTCTAAATCTGTCCATTTCTCTCTCTCACAGTCTGCGAGAGGTAGTCCAGGATCAGTCTGTGAAGCCCAAACTCCAGTGCCTAATGGTGGATCCGTCGTTCTCTATGGTAACAGTTCAGAGTGAGGACAGTGGTATTGTTTGGGAGACGGCCTCAAGCCGCTGCTCTACCCCCTGGGCCTCTGAGACCAGCTCCATCTCTGAAGCCTACAGCATGGAGGGCCCTGGAGCCGCAGGAAAGATCACCATCGTCTTTGACGAGGAGAAAATAGTCCGCAGGAGGACGAGGTCTGGAGGAAGGAGCAGCAGGCTGGGAGATAGGCTGAGCCGACCTGGTAGTTCGAGATCGGCTTCAGCCCTAGGAGTGGAGAGACTGGAGATGGCAGAGGTCTCTCTTCCCAATGTCAAACAGGAGAAAACTGAAACAGTGCCAGACTTGGAGGAAATTAAAAACAAAGATCAACAGCTGTTTAGTTTGATTTCAGAGGGTTATGAGATTCTCAACATCAGAGTCCCCTCCAAACTTCCCACTGTGGATGAGGAGGAGAGCACAGAGCTGCAGGACAATTTGTCTTATTTGGACCAGACTCCAAAGATCAGGTCCCGAAACCACCATGACTGGACACTGGGACAGAATCATGTCCTGCCAGAGGAGGGAGAAATACTGGATCACCAAGAGGTATTTATTGATTCATCTGATTGTTTTGAGTGGTCTTAATAATGAAGTACTAAATTCAATCACTTAGTACACTAGTTTTGGTTACATTTGCCTTTTTTTTTTTTTTTTTGCATGAAATTAATATTTGTGTTTTGTTGTCTTATTGTCATCTTTCCTCAGCCCTCAAAGCAAAACTCCTCTCAGCCAGCAGACACAGAGCTCACACAAACACCCACTCAGAAAGAGAGCACTGGTGATATAGACTACTTCGAGAAGTTTACCCTGGTTGATGTGGCGGCTCCTGGGGAACAAGCTCCAGAGCTGCAGAAGGAGGCAGAAAAACCTGCAGCAGAGTCCCAAGCAGAGGAGCAAAAGCCAGCAAAGGAGACAACCACAGTCAGCCCTTCTGCATCAGAGGACTCCTTTGTCTTTGTTACAGATGTGGAGATAGTCGGGGAGCACCTGGATGAGGTCTTCTATGGAGAGGGAGCTCCTGCTGATGCGCTGCAGCACAGAGAAGACGATGAGGGTAGGGTGAGAATGAGACGAGAGAGCCAGAGATCTGTGAAGGAGAACGGTTCTGTGTTGTTTGGGAGTGAACAGACCGTCCTCACACCCATCTTTATCTCCCCTGGACCCCCTAAGATTATCGACCCCATCCTGCTGGAGGAGCCCACTGCTATGTCCTTCATGTACTCAGACCTTTATGAGGATGCTGTGGGCGAGAGGAGGAAGAGCATTGGAGAGCAGTCTGAGACAGAGAGCGTGGCATCTGAGAGGGCTTATAAGAGACGATTGTCAGATTCAGAGGAAGCAGACGGGTACCTGGAGAAGTTTACTTTGAAAGATGATACTCCCATTGTTGAGGTTCCACCAGCAGAGGATGAGAGTGTGCAGAGGATGATGTGGTCACAGAGTAAGTTTGAAATGACAGGATGTCTGACAAGAGCAGTCAAAGAGGAGGACAAGGACAAGACAGAGGAACCAAAGACACAGGAGGTCAGTGTTGGAGATGGGAGCAAAGTTTTACAATCAGCAACATCTGAAGAGAAAAGAGAATTAGTTACTGAGACAGTAACGGCAAAGGAGGAAACACAACTCTCTCTGGTGACTGAAGAGCCGGCTGTCAGAGAAGCCTCGGAACAATCACTTCAGGAGTCTAAACCGAGAGAGGATCAGATGGTGGATCAGGAGATGAAACTCGAGGTAAAGACGGAGCCTCCTGAGAGCAGCACTGATAAACCACTTCCTGAAACTCCGCAGGTGGACTGTAAAGTGGAGAAAACAGAGGAGAGTGAGGAGCATCAGAAAGAAGTGCCTGCAGAAACAACCAGCATTACTGAATCTGATCCGCCATGTCAGGCACAAACAGAGGTGGAAAAAACAGCGCAGGTGGCTGTCAAAGCTGCAGAGGAGACAGCTGTGATCACACCTGTAAGCAGTGAGGAGCCTCACATCACCACTGACAAGAGTTTGTCTGGGGTTGCAGCCGATGACACTAAGATGGCAGCTACTGATGAGAAAGTCATAACTGAGGCTCCAGCTGAAGTAAAAGAATCTGAGACTGAAGAACAAGAAATGCTTCCCTCTGCTGAAACAGAGACATCTGCTGAAACATCTCTGCATAAAGAAAAAGAAGCAGCAGAAGTAGTTCCTGAGGGCATACCACCTGTTGAGGTTGTCACTGATTGTGATTCTGCAGTGCACGCGGTGGTGGAGGTGACTGAAAAAGCAGTGGACGAAAAAGAGATCAAAACTCAAGTTCAGATTGATCTTCAGGAGGTTACAAGTGCTGAGACAACAGATGTTCAAACAACCGAAGGAAAGAAAAAACATGAAGCTCTAACAGCGGAAACTGCACCTGAGAGCCAGTCGCCTGAGATTATTTCTGATCAGGAGTCAGAGGTTAAAGCAGAGATTTCAGGTGAAGTAACTGAACATGCGATGCCAGAAGAAGTCGAGACAGATCTGGATAAGAAACACCTTGAAATTCCTGAATCCAAGCAGCATCAGCAAGATGAGTCAGCAACTGACAGCGAGCTGGTAGCTGAAGCCAAAGATAAAACACCCACAGAGGATACTGGGACTGCAGCTCATGAGACTGTAGGTGTGGGCGATGAGGTAATCCTCCTTGTTCCAAAGGGACAAGCTGTAGAGATGGACATAGAGATCAGTCCATCATCAGAGAATACTACAAGTGAAACAATAGCTCTCCCTGAACCTGACAGCACATTTGAACCTCTCATAGCCCCTAAAACCACCACAACATGTCCAGAGACTCTTCAGGCACCACACGAGGAAACAATAACAGAGCCTCAACTGGAAGAAAAACCAGATGTTCTAAAGGAAGAAGCACTACCCAGAGACAAGTTAGATGATAGATGTTCTCCTCCAGCACCTGTGGAGGAGGCCAGCTCAGAGAAGCAGAGGATGGAGTGGGATTTTGAAGAAGACAAGGGCGTCTTTGCCCCTCTGAGGAGCTTTACTCCGCTGGAGGATTTGTCTGTGCTACACAGAGAGGATATAGAGTCAGAAGCAGCAGTTGTAGAACAAAACATAGAGATACAAAAGGTGGAAGATGCTCCAGAGACAAGCATTGTTAAAGAGGATTCAACTCTAGAGATTGATATGCACAAAGAGGATGTAGAACAAGATGTAGAGATGCACAAGGTGGAGGATGTACCACAAGCAACTATTGTTGAAGAGGTATCAAGGCCAAAGCTCGATCTGCACAAAGAGGATGTAGAAGAAGATGTAGAGATCCCCACGGTGGAGGATGCACCAGAAGCAAATATTGTTGAGGAGGTATCAATGCCAGAGATTGATCTGCACAGAGAGGATGTAGAAGAAGATGTAGTGATGCACAAGGTGGAGGATGCACCAGAAACCAAAACTGTTAAAGAGGTATCAAGGCTAGACATTGATCTGCATAGGGAAGGTGTAGAGATGCACAAGATGGAGGATGCTCCACAAACAATTATTGTTGAAGAGGTATCAGGGCCAGAGATTGATCTGCACAGGGAAGATGTAGGACAAGATGTAGAGATGCACAAGGTAGAGGATGCTCCAGAAACAAAAACTGTTGAACAGATATCAAGGCCAGAGATTGATCTCCACAGAGAGGATGTAGAAGAAAAGATGGAGCAAGCTGAGGCAGTTCCAGAAGTACCTGTCGAGGAGCTTGAATATGAGGTCATATCTGAACAGGATGCGAAAGAGATGCCGGAACCTGAAACACTGAGAGATGCAGCGGAACCAAAACCCGAGCCTGCTCAGGAGAGGGATGAGGGGATGCAGGTGGAGATGGCAGTGGAGGTAGAGGAGAAGGAGGAGGAAGTGTTTGGTCTGTCCCCAGATGAGGAGCTCTTTGAGGCTGACTATGACATCATTGATGCAGAGGAGGAGCGGCAAGCCCGACTGGCCGCTGAGCTGCAGGGAATGGACTGGTTCTGTCTCACCTGTGAACGTCTGCTGTCAGAGGACGACTGCATGTCTGGGGAGCATCACAGCCATGACGTCACTGCAGTGGACAAAGCCTATGAGGAAATCAAGGTAATGAGCTGTGTTAATGGGGACCATGTTTTATACATATTAACATTTGTTTTAAAGTTTAAAATGAGGGCTGTCAGAGCTTCTTGTGTTTGGGGTCCTGGAAACCACTACCCCTCCTTATCAGCTCACACAACAATCTTAACTTTGTTTATCACCTTGATCCTTAATCACTAGGCTTGGGTGGTATTTATTTTTTATACCTTCATACCCTCCTGACATTTCACCTGGTGTACATATGCTGAAGGGTGTAGAGAAATGTTGAAAAAAAATAGATCTAAAGGACTATTTCAATATTTTGGGAGCAAATCAATATATTTCCCATAATGCTAAATTTTTCCTTTTTCTATGTTTTTTTCTTGTTTTTTCTGTCTGCGGCCTCAGAGACTTCACAGCGTTGTCTCCCAGATGTTTGATCATTTTAACAGGCTGCCGCTGAGTGACGCAGCAGCAGTCCTCATGTCTGATGGCACGCTGTAATCACATAGCAGCTCATCATCTCATCAAACACTTTACCAGCATGATTACAACACACGGTTATGATCACACACACACACACACACACACTTTACTGGCATTAATTTGGGTCATCATATAATAAAGTGGTCCTAAATTAGTCAGCTATAACTTTTCCATTCATGCTGGCAGATTGCACGCTCTCAGGCTGCCGGTAGGTTGCGGCCAAGCACATTGAACTGTTGTGATGTAATGTGCTGCTTTGATTCGTGGAAAGGTCCAGTATGACATCATCAAGTGGAGACTGATATATGATCTGTTCACACACACATACATCCGCAAACACACACACACACAATTCTTCCTGGCTGTCCCTATGGGTCAGCACAGGGTCAGCCACCTGCTTTTTTAAATCTGTATTGATGTTATAGCACCTTCTAGCAATTAAGAATATTGTTGTCTTTTACTCGCAGGTTTCCAAAAGCCATCTGTCAATTTTTTTCAAAAACTTTAGACACTTAATTCATCACAGGAGACTTTTTTTTGTAATCTGTGAAACATTGGACAAAGTGGGCAAAGTGACATGCATTTGAGAAACAATCACAGTAATGTATCTGGCATCTAAATCAAAGGAAAGCTGGAACAAACTGAGAATGATCAAATGTCAATTTAGATATTTTTACACATCTGATATATATTTATGTGAAACGCTGACAGCTGGACTGTAAATAAGACAAAGATCAAAGCTGTAATGTAAATCTGACTCCAGCATTGAGAGGTGCCGTTGATTCAGAAACTCTGCGGCGGGGAAAATTGATCCAAGTTCACCAGAACTTTACAAAACTGTATCCAGTCCAATTCTCTGAGCTAGAATGTGCAATACACTCCTGCACGTCTTCAGACATGGATATGTGCAACTAGGCTCACACATTCTTCCTCACTTACATGCCCTCCTACACACACACTTGTCTTCTGACTCCTAGTGGAGAGGCTGCCAGCCTTTAATGTGAGCTGTCAGTGTCCGGGGGCTGACAGGGGATTGCCACTGTCCTTCCTACTGGAATATCCTCTCTGATGATTCCCTTTAAAGCTGCAGCTGGCCACATTTTATCTAATGATGTCTTTTCAAGCTAACTAATAACAACAGAGAGGAGCATCCCTATCCTGTGTTGACCCCGCAGCTCCATCAGATTGCCTTCAAGAAATTTATATTTCAAATATTTTCGCTGGAGGGAAATATTTGATAAGTGCAAAGACTAACTGTGGTGCAGTTTTAATGTCAAATCTACAAACATGCAACATCTTTTCCCTCAAATCATAGGTTAATTTTTTTAAGTATGTCTCAAGACAAAATAGTTACATACCCATATGTACAGTTTAGGAGTTATTTGCCAGTGCAATTGTTCTTTCTCTCTATACAGGCCATCAAAAAAATCCCTCTGCACCTGATTACAGTGTATGTGATGGGTGACAACAGTCCTCATTCCATGTAGAAATGCACTTTGTAGTCCAATATGAGCCATCTGCCAAATTAAATTGATGTCTTCCAAAGTTGGTGTTTTGATAAAATTCCCTTAAGTGCTATATTGTGGGCAACTGGACCTGCTTGAGTTTCTTCAAGATGTTTCACCTCTCATCCAAGAGGCTTCTTCAGTTCTGAAGAAGAAACTCAAGCAAGTCTAGTTGCCTACAATATAGCACTTGAGATTACCATGACCTGGATGACCGAGAATCTTCATCACACACATCACACAGTAAAATTCCCTCTTTTTTATGATCCCTCTGCAGCAGATCAGCAAAGAAACTCTATCTGGAGACAGAAAAAGGAGGAGTTTTTTGAGGACTGTAGATTTTGTTACCCATCTCTTCCACCGGAGACACCTAAGGAAGGGATCTCTTTATGGTGTAGGAGCAGAGTAGAGCAGGAATAACTAGCCTACAACAACTAAGAGCTCTTTGATTATACATATAGGCATGTGATTCTCACAAAAGTGTGTTTGTGTTTTGTTTTGTTTTTTCAGGAGAAGCTGGGTGACTGGATCTCCGAGCTTCAGGGGAGGTCAGAAAACATCGAGGACCTGGTGTCTGAGCTCGAACTGGCCTACAACTCTGTAGAGGTAAAACAAGCTGACTTCACATTTAAAGGTCCAGTGTGTAGGATTTAGGGGGATACATGGGAAAAAATGGAATATAATAATTGTTGTGTTGTGTTTTCGTTACCTCAGAATGAGCCGTTTGTATCTACATAGGGAGTGGATACTCAATGAAGATTACCATGTTGCAGCGCTATGTTTCTACAGTAGCCCAGAATGGACAAACCAAACACTGGCTCTAGATTGGGCCACCTGTTTTTGCGTTTTCACATTTTTGTATCGGCCACCATTGTAAGCAGCCGCTCTATGACAAGCACTGTTGGAACAACACAGATTTTTTAACATTTAATTGCTTTATTCAGTGTTTTTACTGCTTTCACCTAGTCTGTTTGTTTTGGAGAGGAAGAGACCGCTGCAAGTAATTCTGCTCCTGGTAAAAACCTCCTGAATAAAGAACACTGAAGGAATTCTTAATGGGAGAGGTTTCAGCAGGTTACAATCTTCATTCCTCACCACTAGATGCCACTAAATCCCCCTAAATCTTACACACTGTACCTTTAATACTAAATGGGACAATACCTCTTTTCAATATTTGACATTAGATTATACATAACACTGCCATCAAAGGACATGATACAGACCGTTTTATTTGTGAATATCTGTGAATATAATATCTCTGTTTCCCGTCCCTCTCCTCTCGATCAGGACCAGTGTGTGGAGATTGAGGCAGCGATGCGGGTGCAGAATGAGGAGATGATGGCTATGGTGATGGAGCAGTACAACAACATGTCTATCAGCATGGAGGAGGAGAAGAAGGCCAAGCTGGAGCAGCTATATGACCAGATTGTCTCCTTCCAGGAGAGCATCGACTCTGCCAAGGCCACTCTGGAGACCACGGACAGAGAGGCTGATACTGACGCACGGGTGAGTCCTGAGGCTTATTGATCGGTGGCATCATATTCAGCCAAAAATCAGGATTATATGACACATCTGACAAATTCCTCTTCAATCTGTTCTCTTACTAGTCACCTGAAGACATTCATACAAGGTATTGTGCTTTCAGTAAATGGTGTGTGAGCTAATGTGGCTTTCTAACCGGTGTATGCTAATTTTTTAATGTATGTTTTTACACTGACCTGTTGTTTTGGTCTGAATGCTGTGGTTGTGTGGTCAGGCTCAAGGCAGCTCTGGACTCAACCATGTCACTGGAGCTGGGTCCCAAGGGACTGCTGGTATTCGAGGACTATGCCAAGGGTAACACTTCCAGCTCTCACCTTGCACAGCGCAAGGGAATCCCAGGTAGGTCTGATGTAAATATATCTTTGCAGATACACCTACCATCTGCAAGAAGTCTTGTGTCATGTGCATAGATGTGGCAGTTATGAATCTTGTACCTCCACTGGTCTGTGTCTCAGTGCCTCAAAAGCCCACGCTGCAGCCTCAGGAGCCAGGCTCGGCCACCAGCACCAGCGTCACAGTTTACTGGAAGGTCAACCCTGGAGATATCATAGACTGCTTCCAGGTCTACTGCATGGAGGACCCACAGGGAGGTAAGTACTTTCAGGATGAGGTTTTTTTTGTCTCAAGATTTGATTGTGGGTGGGCAGGGTAACATCTCTCCATCTACTACTGCATGTCTGGCCAAAAGAGAGGTGAAGAACAGCATTTGAGTGGAGTCAGGTGCATGTCTTCCTCTCCAGTGGTGCCAAGAAGGGCAGTCAGGGGTTTATGTTCTACAATAAAATTTAGGAGTAGGGGCAGGAATTGGAAAATGTCCCTTCAGTATTTGTTCCAGGCTATGACACATCTAGAACATGTGGATAAGGGAATCCTCACCTCTTGAATTTTGTCACAGCAAGGATTCATATCAGAGTACACACAAGCTAGTTTTGCTTTGGACACATGGACCCTAAGCACGGCTGTAAACTGTAACCAGGACGGTGTTTGAACTGGAAAATGGTGGCCGTAGTTCAAAGTGCTCCCATTTTATTTTATTTCATTTTGTTGTATCTATTTTTTTTTATTTCAATTTTATCACCACTCCAGGTAAATTGATATTTTCTTGGTAGAAATGATACTACTTTTATTTTTGTGAATTTGGGAGAGATCCCTTTTTTACAAATACACATTTTATAGCATATTATCATTTATAATAGTCATAGATTTTGTTGGTATGAAATCTAACTGTGCCTTTCTGAGTTACTAAATACATTCATAGAAACACAGTGCATGTGTTGTCCACAGCGGTGTCAGAAGAGTACCGTGTGACAGTGAAGGAGAGTTATTCTGTCCTGGAGGAGCTGGAGCCTGACAAGACCTACAAGGTGTGGGTGATGGCTGTCAACTATACAGGCTGCTCTCTGCCCAGCGAGAGACTCTCCTTCAGAACTGGTCAGTCTGCTCACTGGAGCTCACGTTACAACAACACAACAGCTTTCAGTTAACAATTTCTACTGGCATTGTGAAGGGAGTTAAGATTGGTAATTTCTATTATGTTAAAGTATCTATATTTTGGAGGTCCAGAGAGTCTACCCTTCAAATCCAGAAGTGAATTTCAAACTATTATTTACATCTTGTTCTCTTTCTGGCAGCTCCATCAGTGCCAGTTATTGACACAGAGCGCTGTACTGTCATGTGGGACTCAGCCACGCTGAGGTGGAGCTCAGTAAATCCGACTCGCGAGCAGAGTTACACCCTGGAGTACTGTCGCCAGTATGAACTGGAGGGAGAGGGACTCAGGTGGGTGTTTGAGGAGTTCACTAATTTAACCACATTATTAAAGTCAGTCAGCCTGGTTTAAAACAAATTAATAAACTGTACATGCCTTTGACATAAACATTTAGAGACATATTTAAACTTCTTACCCAAATTAGCTAAATTAAATCTACAGTGAAAAATTTTAAACTAAGGTTAATTCCTTTGTGTGCATGCATGTGTTCTCAGGTCCATCTCAGGTATCAAAAGCTGTGAACAGAGGGTTCTCCTGCAGCCCAATGAGAATTATTTGTTTTACATCAAAGCTATGAATGAGTCTGGAGCCAGTGAACAGAGCGAGGCTGCCCTCATTTCTACCAAAGGTAAAAAAACAAAACACACACTTGAAGTATTCAGGGGGATGTATTGGCAGACATTGGATAAAATATAATACACACAACAACACACTCTTGACTGTGACTGTTTTCAGGGACAAGGTTCCACCTGCTGAAAGCCTCAGCTCACCCTGCTCTGGAGCTATCTGTGGACCGGACCACTGTGCACTACTCTCAGGACACACATGAAAACACACCATTCACAGACAAACAGTGAGTTTCAGTCAGCTCCGACCACTTGACCTTTTACAGAACATGTGTAAACCAGAGTTTGTGTGTTTTCTAGGTGTCCATCTATCCTTGGTGAGTTGTTGCCAGCACAAGGACATTACTACTGGGAGACCATTGTGTTAGGGAGCACAGCTTACAGGCTGGGAGTGGCGTACAACACAGCCAACAGGAACAGCCCACTGGGAGAGAACAGCCTGTCATGGTGTTTGCAGTGTATCCCTACACCATCAGGGTATGCAGAAAGCATTTTCCCCTATATACTGTATTTCTCATCACTGTGCTGGTCTAAACCTGTCCTCTCTCTCTTTGTCTGTGTAGCTGCAGGTATCAGCTGCTCCACAATGACGCTCAGTCCAGCGTGTTTGTGATTGACATGCCCGAGCGAGTAGGCACTCTCCTGGATTACCAGCTTGGTTGTCTGTCTTTCTACAATGCCCAAAGTGGTCAGCTGTTAGGCACTTTCTGCCAGCGCTTCACCCAGCCATGCCACCCTGCTCTGGCCCTGGAGATGCCGGGCAGCCTGGAGGTCAGCATGGTGCTGGAGGTGCCCGAGTTTGCAAAGGACAGCTAGCTCTGCTGTTTGCCTCACACACTGAGGAGTTTACAGTTCATGTTGGACATATATTGATTTGAATGATCTTACTGTATGATTATAATGACCATTATTGCATTACTGAGAAGCTGCAGACAAAAATACACTGGTGTCCACAGTAAAGACAGGAGACATACTGCATCCCCCTTCTTCTAAAGAGGCCTCACTGATGGGTTTTTAGCAGAGGTGGGATCGAGTCGTGGGTTCGTAAGTCACAAGTAAGACTTGAGTCTTTGCACTCAAGTCCTAAGTCAAGACAGGCAAGTCCCGAATCAAGACTGCTGGGTCTCAAGTCCTGAAGTTTGAGTTCCGAGTCCTAAACAAGCCATCATGTTGCCTGGGTCCAGACCTGCCCACTACTCTGAGTTTGACTGTAACAAGGTGACAACTCTGTCAAGTCATAATGGGATCTCTACCAAATTCAATCTCATTTTAACAAAGAAAGAATATAATAAATTAACAAAAATCATTAATGCTTTATAAATAAATAAATATTTGTTAAAACAAGTGGGACTGAACTTAATCAGAAAAAAAGTAGCGCTGCACTTTCATAGCATATAGCACTATTACCCAGTACCACAATAGAACTTTTTTTTTTGTGTGTGTCTGTCCTCTCTCATTGTTTTTAACTCATCTCATATTGATAAAATGTCCATAACTTTCTCTTCCTAAATTGGCTTGGGGGAAGGTATCAAGTATTTTCAAGTCATGAGGCTCAAGTCCGAGTGAAGTCATAGTGTTAGAATCCAAGTTGAGCACAAGTATTTTTTGATATTGTCAATTCTAGTCATCACATTTGTGACCCTAGTGTGATCTGAGTCCAAGTCATGTGACTCGAGTCCTCGCCTATTGTTTTTTGTGAGATTGAACCTATTCAATACAGTGCAAGTTTTATTTATTTAAGTTTTTTTTTTTTTTTTTTACAGGAGATCAATTCAACATTTATTTCTTTGTTAACATAAATTAAAATGTCTTGTAAATATAAAAACCAGAAGCAATGAAAATGAATCATCACGGTGTGAAATACAGATCGAAAATTAGTGCCATTCTATTCACGTGAGTGTCTTGCATATTGTTTTGTCGAGGGAGAAATGAAACGTTGATCACTTCATAAACTTGACCATAACATATGCTGATGTGATTGATTTGTACTGCTCTGTTCAGTTTCATTTTTATTTAAACCCTGACTGGTAGGTACTGTGAGGTGAGTGCTGCATATTGAGATTAAACACTCTGTATAATAACTGAGACAAACAATAGTTAAATATTTAGTTTAGACACTGAGTTTAGCTCCCAGAAACAAACTGTGGCACTTCTGATCTGTGTTTCATATTGTGAATGTGTAAATAACCTTTGTAAGCAGATGTGATCACTTCTATATTTTGTTATGTGCGACTCGCAGTAGGTGGAGATGAATTGTTTTCCTTTCTTTGTCCTGTAAACTGATTCTAATGTCTGAGCTGAATGAACATGTTTATTTTTCTATTTGCACAACTGGACTGATGGTTTGTTTCATGCTCATTTCTAACATACATTCACCACTAGAGGGCCTCGACGCTCCATTAGCGCTGGCATTGGCTCCAAATCAGGCTCAAATACATTTCTGCCACCAATCTTCACAACTTCTGCAAAACCTATTATGCACTTAGACTCCCAGATCGCTTTTGATGACTTACAGCTACTGTAGATTTGGAAGCCATACGCCGAGCTGACAGAGCTACATGGTTCTCCAGGGGACATGCCATTTCTCAATTATTATGTCACTATTTTTTCCAGGCACTCAAACCCTTTCCCATCATTCTGACACCTTTGCTCTTTTCTGGGGAAACAGAGAGGAGAGTGAGAGGAAGAAGAGGAGCAAACACTTGTAGACCATAACAGCTGCTGGCTTCAATGTGATCTGTTGGGCTGCTCCGGTGACAGTTCTTTGAAAAGTGAAAGCCTCTTTTTACTGGGGCTGATAACACTGGGATGGGAAGTTGGAACAGTTTGTTTTATAGCAGGACTCAGGAAGGATCTGTTCTTGTGACAGTGGAAAGATAGGACCCAGTGTCACTGCTGCTGACTGTTTTTGTACCTCATGTCAGCCCCAGACTTCTTTGACACTATCAGATAAAATTTGTTTTACAAATCTCTTTCTAGCTCAGAAAAATAAAACAAGGTGACAATAAAGTCATTAAATCACCACAATTGAAAAAATACAACCACAATTTTCTTTTCTTTAGCTAAAAATTGCCAACAGATCCAAATGAACTCCTTCTTTCCCTCTACCACACCTATTAAACAGGCAGCCAAGAGAAGCCTCAGCAGGAGTCTCTCCCACACGTGACCGATGACTTTGACAATATCTGATGTCAAGTATGCATCATCTCCATTCAGCTTAATTACTCTCATTTTTTCCACATCTGAGGCCAAAACCAAACAAAGAGCTCTCTATCCTCCCGACATCTAAACAACCAATCACGCAAATAAGCGTGGTGGGCGAGGGTGAAATTTTCTGTAATTGTTACTGGAAAAACAAATCACCCAATAGCACGCCTTACTGCATTGGATTAGTACATGGAGGAAACATCTATAGGAGGCAAACAGCTCTCGTGTAATTTAAATCAGGCTCCAGAGGACTGTTTATCGGCACCTTTAGTTAAATATCAAGATGCTTGAAAAAAGACAGACAGTGGTCGTGGTTGGATTATCATATTTGTATTTCAATAACATGACGACAGTTGTTTCCAACTATCTGCAGAGGACGAACAACAGTAACAGAAGTGACAAAGATAATTTATGGCAATGTATCAAAATTATGAAGGACACTGGTCATATTCTGACAAGTGTACAAAGACACCAGCAGTCATGAAGGCACACACTGCACCCATATGGTCCTCACAAGCCTGTTTGTTGTCCAACAGCGTTTTGTAACTGGCAGCACACACACACACACACACATATGAATGCTTTTGTTTCAGGATATGGTGCTTTAAAGGGAATGTAACCATGAAGTTATTTCTGGAAGTTGCAACAAGTAGTAAGTATTAATACTTCTAGACACAGAGAAATAATGAAAGTAATCACATGGATTAGACACAGTTAGGCAATGTATGAGCTGTGAGGATATTAGGCAACATGACAGTAAAAGGGGAAAAAAAGTGGCAACTCATTTCACTGTCTAATTCCAGAAATTCAGACAGTAAAAATAAAAAGGCAGCTAATGAGACATTCCCAAATGGGACAGACACTTAACTTTCAACAAGTTGACTGTTAAATAGGCACAGCAAATGAAAACACGGCAGAAAAACCAACAAAATAAACGTTGTACAAGATTGATTGTGGAAACCCATGGCAACAACAGCAAGTGGATTATTAATGACACAATATCTTAAACTGCGAGACATACTGGTTTCTGATAGTCCTACATACACACTAAAATTAGTCCCTCATATTTTGCATGAATATGTCTATACAGTGTGTAAGGCCCTTCTATTACCTCAGTATATCTAGCAAAGATTGTGAAGAAGCTGATCAGCCCTATCAGAGGAAACCACCAGTAAACTGCATTGATTTTAACCATGAAAATATTTACAACTATACAAGCTATACAAAGCCGAGGAGGTGAGAGCAAAGCAAAATAAGGGATTAATATCCTTATAGTCATGACTGCATACATACTGTACATTACACTAAATCAAATTAGAATTTACAGAATGTTTTTACAGTGGACTTGAGGAAGGACGTACGCTCAGAGCGCTGCTGAAGGATCTGAGGTCCTCCATGAGAAGACACAGATTTATAAACTGGAGAAACACAACTAAAAAAATCTAGGTGCTTTAGCACAACACTGTACTATCTTAGTATCAGTGTATCTTTAAAGTGTAAATACACACGTTTTTTTGCTTTAACTTATGATAATGAAGTAAATGTTGAATGCATGATGTAGTGGCTAAAAAATAATGACCCCATTGCTGTTTAGACTGGTTCCCTAATACAGTTCTGCAGGGATGGTGTTTTTCTTTAGGCTGATGTGGAAGTTAGCGTCACCCTGGCTCCCTCGTCAAAAAGTCAATGGCATTTTTCCATTGGATTTTGCATTATTGCAGAAAAAAACAAAAGTTTATGATGCTTACAGGGTGTGTTCAGCAAGGTAATCGTCACAAATGAACACCACTTTCATAATTTTTGAAAGCTAAATACAATCGTCAGAGGTAACAAGCTAACGTTAGGCTATAAACAAACTACACCGCGGTCACATGACTTAACTTCAACACCAAAACAAGGCTGTACAGCCGTGTTCCTTGTGATGACATTCTGCTGTGGCAAACTTTTTTTAAGCTCCCGAAAGGCTTCAAAATTCACGAGTAGGGTATTTACTGATGTACTCTATCTCTTATATCTTATACTTGTGTTAACTGTTAACCACAGACCTTATTTCAGGCATCTAAAAAAAATCCATTCAAATAACCCACTGACTTTCAGACGAGGGAACCAGGAATGCAATAATGCTAATTCATTTCCAGGTTTAAGGACTCATTCCTGCACCACCTATAGCATTGCTTTCACTATGCAATTCTGTCGGCCACTGGGTACGAGCTCCTGGAAAAATGAAGGCTCAATTTATACAGAAGTAACTGTGAAAAACAAAATGCAGTGTGCTTTGTGTCGTTGGTAGTTATAGGCTTTGAGGAAAACGTAAAGCGATGAGGGGGGAAAGTTGATATGTCATCTATTTCCGCTTTAACAAATATCAAAATCCTCATGAAACTGGTGAGGATGTTTCTATGTTTCCTACGGTGCATCAACTGTAGAGTGAGGGAAAACCAAAAAACTTGAACTTAAAATATATCTATCTTACAGAAAACAAATGGAAGAAGAGGTTAAGTGGTCCATCCAGAGGTCAAACATCACCACTTCTTTTCCCTGCTGGACTTTTCATTTCCTTCAGCTTTCCTTTGAACTTTGCTTTTTCCTCATTAAACACCACTTCATAGCATTCCATCCATAACCACATACATGCGCTCAACCTTTTTAAAAATCCTCACACATGCACTTTTCCTTCTCTTTCAGACCAGCATCTTTGAAATCTATCATCATTACGCTTCTGTAAAATAGTCTCTTTGATAATTATATAGTCATTCCATTAATTATTAGGTTATTTTCCATTCAAACTATAGTTCAGCTGGATAACATTTTTTTATTTGAGGACGTTGAGTCAGATTCAGAACTGCACCTTTCATCTACAGGCTGTTCCTCCTCCGATCATAAGGCTGGATCAGGGTTGACAGGTCAGGGGTTAGGCAGGAGTTGAGTTTTTCTCACTGGCCAGACTGGGTTTGGGGTCTGGTCTGTGGGGTTTGTGCTGAGGGCTGCTGCGAAGGTTGTCATCCATCTACAGCACAAGATGTCAAGTTAAGTTAGAGTGCACATGCACGAGCAGAAAATAATGTGACAATGATTCAGTGAGAGACACTAATTTTAGTACAGCTGAGACTGTACCTGCCAAATGCAACCATGAACCCATGCAAAGACGATAAAAGGAAAGCAGAAGCACCTTCTCTATCAAGTTGGACTCTTTGTTTACAAGCTGAGTTAGTTTCTGCAGGTTGGCATCCATTGTTTCCTGAACAGGTGGAGGAGGACCTGCAGAGAGATTACACAGTGACGACCCCCACAGAGGAAGAAGGAGAAAGCCGAGAGAGCCAGTGGAAGAGAAACAGTGTTAGGTCAATAGAGCAGATACAAAGAGCAAGCATGCAGTCAAAGGAGAGGGAATATGCTGATGATGTTAGTTGTTTTGTGTTCATGAAAAGCAAAACTTCTCCTTCATCTTTGTGGGTTAATTTCACCAAGCTACAGCCCCAAGAGTGCGAGTAATTCCAGTGTGTGCAGCAATCTTACAAGGGTGGTCCGAGCTGAAGTAGACTGCGAGGATGTTGTCACAGAAGCTTGTGAGGTTGTCCAGCTGTCTGAGGTGGCTCTGCAGAGGACTGCTGGGGAGACCCGCTTTGTAAATTGGAGCCAGAAAACCAAATGCAAAGGCATCCAGACTGGTCGGCCTACAAACACAAGCAAAAATAAATGTAGATAAATCCCAATATATAGATCAAAATTTGGTCTATTGCTTACTGTGATTAATGGTTGTCACTTGGCCAACTGAATTTTTATTGAGAAAAACTAACGCTGGCACAGACTCCTGACCACAAATCTAATAAAAATACACATTTCCATCTTAATTTTTGGGGCTTTTTCATCCTCTCTGTTTTCTAATAGTGTTGCACCTGCATGTCTTTCAAATGACATTAAAGAACTTACGAGTTGCCAAAGAAGTAGTTTGCCGTTCCCAGTCTGTAGGAGAGGAGATTCAGGCACTCTTTAGCATCACTGTAGATCTGAGGCAGACAGTGGGAAAGATTTACAGTTTGAGAAAACTTTGCAGTCACAGGGATGACACAACATGTGAGTGATGAATCAGACAAGTCAACATTTACCTTTCCCTCTACCTCAGTGATTCTGTGCAGTGGCGCCTCTCCTTTGGTTAGAAGGATGCGGGAGAGGGCAATGTTGGCATGGCGATTAGGAACGAGAAAGTTAAGAGGGAAAGGCGAGCGAGAGGCAAACCATGGCCGTGTCAGATTGGCGTAGTTTTCTGCATCCACCCAAAATGTGTGCAGCTGTGGGACAGAAAGCATCACTTTAAATATTATCAGTATTTACACAGAAGTTCTTGTCAAGGAAAAGCAGAAGAGAGATGGTGATACCAGAGCTGGTCGTAGTTTCTCTTCAAGCAGAGCGATGTATGCCATTGTGTCTGCTCCTTGTCTGGCTGAAAGCTCATAGTCTGCATTAAACCTCTGGAACAAAAAAGGAAAAATCAAAAATATTATAGTAAATCTACTGAATCTGATGAATGGGTTCAAAGACATAATGACCAGGTGATGAATAGTGAGCTTTCCTGGCATTCATTCTTACATGTTTCCTCAGAAAGTTGAGAATCTGTGTAGGTTCTTGAACTGTAGAGTCTCCACACAGCAACTCTGGGACTGTCCCTGCAGGTTGAACGACAGGAGGAAGACATTACATCTGGCACGGCATCTGCATTAACATGTTATTAAGGTCTTGTTGTGTACGATGTAATGTGTGTATCTACAATTTACATGAATTTGTTTCATTTTGTAACCAAATCTGATGCATAAAACATAAACCCATGCTTTAAATCTGTGTTTTTCCACTTCTACTAGCACATTTTTGGATCCACAAAACTTTCGTGACTTGAACGATTAACGTATTGGAGCTGTCAAGTTGTCATGTTACTTTTAAGTATGCTTGCTGTTGTAATGTGTTATTTTCAAGAGCATTAAGAAAGCTCCAAATGGATAATATGGATATATTTTACAAACGTGTACAATTAAAAGCACTGTATTTATTTGTTAAACATTCCTATGTTAGTAACAGAATTCTCTGTCGACCTATGTGCATATCAAGCTATCCCCATCTGGATCTCAATGTTATGCAATTCAGGTTTATGGGAAGATGCAGCCCACCTGTTAGAGTTTTCCATGTCCAGTCTATGGGAGAAACTGTGATTTTTGCACCTGAAAACTTGGCGTATGCCTGAAAGAAAAAAACACACACTTGAATCAGAAGAGATGTTAAAATGAGACGACCAAAAGTGCATTGATGATCTCAGAGTCTGCCAAAGATGTTAGCTGTGACTATTGATCCAAATACAAAGTACTTGGCTCCAGTGCAGGACTGTAATAGTGCAATCAACGCTGAGCTTTGTATGATATCAGTCTTGTAATACTGGTGAACGCTTACTGCAATCAAAGCTCCTTCAGTAGGAATTTGGCACTGACTCTTAATACAGATTTAGCACAAGTGAAACAGTTTCATTTATAGTAAGAGGAAAAACAAAGCAAGCTAAAAAGCAAACAACAACAAACAGAAAAAAAAACAAAAGACAAAAAGATGCGGCAATTAGGGCTGCAACAATTAATTATTTTCATTATTGTTTAGGGTATAAAAATGTCAAATATTAGCAATAACTAGCTATCACAATTTTCTGGAGTCCAATGTGAGGTCTTCAAATGCTGTATTTTATCTGACACCAAAAGATGTCCAGTTCACAAGGATATAAAACAGAAAAAAACAGCAAATCATCACTTTGGAAGAGATAGGACCAGCAAATCTTTGGCATTTTGTCAATTTTCTGTTGGATTTAACTCTAAAATACATGTTACATTAATAATAATAAAAAAAAAAAAACATGGGGAGAAAGCAATGCGCAATGAAAGAAGTGACCCAAAAAATAGCAAGAAATGAGTAAAAGAAATAAAATAATAAACAAAAAAATTGTAGAAAAATAAATAAATAAATAAATAAAATTTAAAAAAGGAAAGAAAGTTTGAAACAAACCTACAAGAAAATGACCTGAAAAGAGTGCTTACAAATCATAATAATTCTGTAACATAATTTTAATATGTAATAATACTAATTATTATTAATATCATAATTCTTTCATAATATTTTTTTCTATTAAGTAATTTTCTATTTTAAAATTAGTTATTTTTATTTATTTATTTTTTGTTTGTTTGTTTTTTTGCAATTTGTGGGATATTTCTTGCCAAGTTGCTCATTGCCTTTTTTCCCATGTTTTTCAAAGAAACACACCAATTTGCTCAGGGTTCAAAGGTTTAAATTCTTGCAAGAAAAGTGATGTAGCTCCAGGTTTCAAAGGGTCACTGCTAAATACCTGTGCATCAGGTACACCAGGTGCAAAGATGGAAATAAGTTCAGGACTATGCCTGACAAACTGTGACAAACATGACACTTGTACTTTATAAATACATTAGACTCCTATCAATTAACCAATGCAAACCAAAATAAAACACATTATTATCACTGAGTAAATGCCTAAAAGATGACTCCTTTATACAGTCAATGTGTCATCTGGGTATGAACATCAGTGAAAGTGTCACCCTGTGGTCAGAGTTGTAACTGCATGAACATGCTAACATATAACAACACGATAAACAGCGAGCAAACAACTTAATGTTATTTTTCTGACATGTTATTACTGCCTCGGCCACCGTCGATAGCTTCGCGGGGAGAAAGAGAGGAATGTACCCAGATAAATCACAATCAGAGCCTCAACAAGCTGACCTTGAAGTACCACATTTCTGTTAGCTATGACACAGAGACTTCTGACTTTATAATGAAGGACAGAGCATGCAGTCAGCAAAGGTAATGTTGCAGCTGTGCAAACACACAACTGAGCTGGAAATATTATTTTCTGTCCTGCACATCGAGCTGAGCACGAGCAGCTAGCCCCACCAGCCAGCTGCAGCTGGCATGTTAGCATGGAAGCTAACCAGAGAGGTACACAGAGAAGACGCAGAGAAAAGCGGAGAGGAAACATTTCGTCTTAAAGGCAGGCCTGGATATAATGACCGTGTTTTTTCACAAGCAGGCGACAACCTTACCAGAACTATGAGAGACTCGCTGTGGACAGAAGGCAAACCCCAGTCTCCTCCCCAGCATCTCAGCTCCATGGCAGCCGCCATGTTTTGGTTCATGGAAGGAGCTGGTGACGTCACGCGGTACCTGTCATAGCAGAGCGTGCAGAGGTGAAGAAATCAAAATACTGAGGTGACACATGGATGTGGATATTTATGTCTCTTTAAAATGACTGCTGTTTTTGAGAATGCATCTTTATGTCATCAATTATAATAATTTATTTATTCCCAGTAAAAACCCATTAACTGTTTGTAATGATGGAAAAAAAGATAGAATTGAAAGTAATGGTGAGGCAAAAATTAAGCCATCCTGGCAACAACTCTGCATGTTGCACCGTTATGAGAGGGGGCACAAAAATAGTTAACACAATGAGAAATGCATTAACACAAAACAACATAAGAACATGTAATAACAAATCCAACTTGGCAGGACCATCTGCTGAGGAGGACTGTGTGAGCCATCCAAGGCTCCAGAACAGCTACTAATGGACTTTGTGGTTTGCCAACCAAAGTCATGATCTGAACTCTCAGTCTCAAAGGTACTGATTACTTTGGAGTAATAGGAGAAACCCCCCCCCCCCCCCCCCAGAATTGGAATGCATTTATAAAATGGCCTGTGTGCAGATATACAGAAGGGAAATTGACCATCACCCACTGGCCCAAAACAGAAGTCAAGTCAATTACATTTTTGTTTATGTTGCCCAATATCACAGTTTTGCCTCTCAGGGCTTTACATGCTGTACACCCTTCATCTGTTAGTTAGTTAGTTAGTTAGTTAGGTAATGGCTAGTTAGATAATGCTTAGTTAATTGTTAGTTAACAGTTAATTGTCAGGTGATTAATAGTTACTTATTTATTAGTTATTTTGTTAATGAATACTTGGTTGATTGTTCATTAATAAATAGTCAGTCAGTCAGTCAGTCAGGTAGGTAGGTAGGTAGGGAGGGACGGAGGGAGGTAAGTAGGTAATGGTTAACAATGGTTAATAGATTAACTGTCAGGTAGTTTAAATACTTGGTTAATTGTTCATTAATAGTTAGTTGACAGTTAATAAGTTAATAGTTGGTTAATAGCCAGTTAGGTCACGTTTGGTTAGTTAGTTAGTTAGTTAGTTAATGGCTACTTATTTAATACATTAACATTACATAATACATTAATTAGTTAGTTACTTAGTTACTTACTTAGGTAATGCTTAGTTAGTTAGTTAATGCTTAGTTAATTGTTAGCTAATAGTTAACTGTCAGGCAGTTTATATTTATTTATTAGTTAAGTAGTTAATGAATATTTGGTTGATTGGTTATTAATAGTAAGTTGACAGTTAACAAGTTAATAGTTTGTATAGCCATTTAATTAGTTAGTTAGTTAGTTAGTCAGGTAGGTAGGTAGGTAGGTAGGTAGGTAATGGTAAACAATGGTTAACATTTAACTGTCAGGTAGTTAATAGTCAGTTACTTAGTTATTAGTTAAGTAGTTAATGAATATTTGGTTAATTGTTCATTAATAGTTAGTTGACAGTTAATAAGTTAATAGTTTGTTAATAGCCAGTTAGGTCACATTTGGTTAGTTAGTTAGTTAATGGCTACTTATTTAAATCATTAACATTACATAATACAGTAACTAGTTGGTTAGTTAGTTAGTTAGTTACTTACTTAGGTAATGGTTAGTTAGTTAGTAAGTTAATGCTTAGTTAATTGTTAGCTAATAGTTAACTGTCAGGCAGTTTATCTTTATTTATTAGTTAAGTAGTTAATGAATATTTGGTTGATTGGTTATTAATAGTAAGTTGACAGTTAATAAGTTAATAGTTTGTATAGCCATTTAATTTGTTAGTTAGTTAGTTAGTCAGGTAGGTAGGTAGGTAATGGTAAACAATAGTTAACATTTAACTGTCATGTAGTTAATAGTCAATTTCTTAGTTATTAGTTAAGTAGTTAATGAATACTTGGTTAATTGTTCATTAATAGTTAGTTGACAGTTAATAAGTTAATAGTTTGTTAATAGCCAGTTAGTTTACATTTGGTTAGCTAGTTAGTTAATGGCTACTTATTTAAATCATTAACATTACATAATACAGTAACTAGTTGGTTAGTTAGTTAGTTACTTACTTACTTAGGTAATGGTTAGTTAGTTAGTTAGTTGATGCTTAGTTAATTGTTAGCTAATAGTTACTGTCAGGCAGTTTATATTTATTTATTAGTTAAGTAGTTAAGGGTGTACCCTGCCTCTCGCCCAATGTCAGCTGGGATAGGCTCCAGCACTCCCACGACTCTCAAGAGGATAAGCGGTTATGAAAATGGATGGATAATACATTAGTTAGTTAGCTAGTTAGTTAGTTAATTAGTTGAAATGTAAAATATGAAATGTTTCACTTCACATGTGAAATTAAGTTTTCACATTAAGATTTGCATGCATGTGCAAAGTTAAAAACATGTATTATATCATGTGAATTTTAAGATACACACATCATTTGGAAGGGTGAGCTTTGGTTTCACATCTAAAATCACAACATCCTCTGTGAAGTGTTTCTGTGCACATGTGAAAGACTGCATTGCATTTTTGTAAAGGTTGAAAAGAACAGTGATGTACTATTGGCTTCCATGTCCACAGAGACTGACTGTCTTGATCAGGAATGGAGGTCAGCATTTCATATTTGGATTTTTTATTGAGAAAAAAAATTGTGGAACTGTTCTTATTTTCCACAACAAAAGCATGACATCTCTCTCCACTGGCTGATTGTCAGGCTGTTTGAAGGCAGCCAGGTGTTTGGCGACCAGACAGCCAGACACTAACGGATACACGGTGATAATGCTCAGCGGGATGGTAAATGTCTCTGTCTTTGGCTCGGACCTGCGGCAGAGACTTTGAAATGTACTGGAGATTTGTAGGGAAAGCTTTAAGACGAGTACCAGACATCTATCATGAAATGTTTCCAGGGTCCCGAGTCTAGCCCTCTTTGTCCTTCCCTTCCCACATTCTTAAGCAGCTGGAATTTAGGGAAGGTTTGCAGAGGCATGTAGTACAAGTTAGAATAAATTACATAAAATTAAAAGCATGTGGTACACTGTTATATAATTCAGCTGGCTAACCAAAGATGAGAGACGAAATCCACATCAATGACACAAGTTCTAGATGTTTGAAAAGAACAATGGCCACCTGGAGTCAAGTTTTCCACCTTTGAGACACAGTCATAATCCATATCAGACATGATTTAGAGTTGGTTGACTGTTTACAGACAGATTTACAATACTTTTTATGCTGTTATATAAGACAGTCGACACAGAGACTAAAGGATTAAAAGCTTTATCTTGACTCTAAATGAAATAGGGTCATAAATACATTAAAAAATACATTTTGCTCATGCAGTATAAATAATGAAGTCATTGAGTCTTTTTTTTAGAATAAAATACAATATAATTTCTTATTCATTGGTTTAAATATTTCTAGTATGTAGTAATACTGCTTTAGCTTTTACACACAGGGACAACATGTATCATTCGATGGAAATATAGTAGAAAGGGGACACTCCCACAAACTATTAAAATAGTCCCGACACTGTGCCACTTTCGCAAAAGTAGAGTGCAAGGACACTCCCCTTTCCTTTAAAAGCTGTGCCTGTGTCCACAAAACCATCTCACCTCTGCTGAGATTTTGCCTTAACATCTGTGTTTTTCCATCACTCTGTGTTGAAGCAGGTGATTAATCTGTGATTCTTGTTCTGATCCACAAGTGGAAACTAATTTTTTTTTTTCTTCAGGGATAAATCTTCTGCTGAGGTGTGTCCCATACTGCTGCACTGAATGATGGGTGTGTGGGCCAGAGCAGCGGCTCTGTCTCTGGTGCTGCAACAGCTGGTGCTCACTGTCACAGCTCAAGGCATTAGTAAGTATTTTTCACCATCCATGCTATTCTGGAAAACATGTGTCTTTAGACCTCTTTACATCACTGTCCATTAGGTCTGTTTCAGTTACTGTCTTTTCCAATTTTGTGCATCCCTTACAATCTGTTGTCTGGTCTTACAACTTCTAATCTGCAGCAAGCCCGCAAATAACAAGGTTTGATTTGTTTGACTTTTTTGTGGCTCCAGTAACGGTCTGACCTAAATACGTAAATCAGTTTTAGATGGTAAAACGCTAACTGCCATCTGAGAAAGTGCATGTGCAAAACTTTGATTTGCCTGGAATCTACACACAACTGTTTCCATAAAATTTCCTGTCACTTTGTATTATTCCTGAATTCAGCTAATAGCTGTGTGCAGTGTGTGTACTGTACGTGTGTGTGTATGTGTCCGTGCATGTGTGTGTGAGACAGCGGGTTACTTTGTTCCAGTGGAAAGAGTTTACTGCAGCTCCCTTTCTGCGACTCCAGTCTACCACTCTATAAAACACGGCAGGATACAAACATGAACGTGCACTTTAACACACACACATATGCATGTGTTAATACACACAGGTACACTGTCACACATAATAAAGTACCACTGACTCAGCAGTAGCAATCCACAGTACACTGCAAGCCATAGCCATCAAGGCACACTGAGGAAACTCTCCATTAATAGAGACTAAAAAAGAAACTCAGCACCACATCTAGTGTATCAGATTGAGGTCTTTCAGCAGGTACACTGAATATAAGCATCTTACACACTATTAACTGACCACTATGCTGTATGTTCCCTCACTGTCTGTGTTTAACTGTGCCTTTTCTCTGAACTTTTATTACAATCATGGCACAGTGTTTATACGACAGTATAACGCAGGTGTTTAACTGTCCTTTCCTGTTTAAGTCTACGACCTGCTGGTGTCTCCTGACTGCCTGCCAGACTTGCTCCAAGGAAGCCTGAAGAACAAAGGGCGAGATGAGGCGTTCATCCTGTCTTCCTTCAGGCTCCACAGCAAGGCCCCCACCTCTCTCTACAGTATCATCAACCCCAAAGATAACACCAAGTACCTGGAGCTCAGTGTGCAGGCCAAACTCAGCAAGGGTGAGTGATTATATTAACACATGTAACAGTGTCTGCGACGACTACTTAAACAGTTTAGATTATCACTACATGTTTCAGTGCT